CGGACTCTACAGCTAGGTGGAATGTTAAAGGTAGAGGGATGATCTGTTGAGACCAACAGGCCTGACTATTCTCAATTCTCTCCACTGCAGTGGCCATGCAGCTTCCCTGAATATAGGGTCTCCTTAAAACACATGTTAGACCTGAGCTGGATGAGTGCACTCAGGAGACCTGGTGACAGGCACTAAGAAGCATGATCAGGGGCAGCCTCAATACAGGGAGAAATCATGGATATTCAAAAATACCTTTTTGATTCAGATCCTGGTATGACTGAAAAGCAACACCGTGCTGAGAACAGGAGGAAGACAGAGCTCTGGTGTCAGAAGCTCTTCTCAACTCTTTAAAGCCAGGCTTGCTCACCAAGGTGCTCACTAATGCCTCTCACCCCTGCCCATATCTAGCATTAAAAAGTGAACAAAAGACAGATAAAGATAGAATTCAAGAAGGAAAAAAGGTAAGGAAGCAGAGGGACAGAAACTTAGGAGAGAAAAGAAAACTAAAGTCAGTAGTCAAAAAGAATGGTGGGAAAGAATGTTTAGATTTCAAAATTTAAAAGCCTGGAGCTAGCAAGAACCTGAAAACTGATTACTCCTCAAGTGAAAGGCACTCTCTACAGGACGTCATTCTTTTTTTAAATTTTTTTTGGAGATGAGGTCTTGCTCTGCTGCTCAGGCTGGAGTGCAGTTATTCTCAGGTGCAACCACAGGGGGCTGCAGCCTTAAATTCCTGGGCTCAGGGGATCCTCCTGCCCCAGCCTCCCAGGTAGTTGGGACTACATGCATGCACCACCATGCCTGACTCAGAACATGATTCTTAAAGGTATCATCCAGGAAACAGATAAGGTCATTCACAAAACACATGGCTTTTTTCCTTGAGCTCAGTGCTAACAATGAAAATAGATTCCACTATTGAAGCACAAGTTGCAAATGGGTAACACAGCTAACACACTGCACTGCTGTAGGAAAGGGGGTTTAGTCAGGTTTGTTACATGAGCACTTGAACTTTCCAAGGTGTCATAGGCCAGTTTTCTACCTCAAAGAATTTCAATTTCAGGATGCACATTTCCTCAGAGGAAGACACTGTGGACATTTGTGGTCATGAACTTTTGAGTGGCAACAGCCCAAACAGGTCAACAACAGGCAGCTTTACTGTGAATTACCATTAAACCTGGCCAGGTGACGTGTGTCTCACTCCAAGTTCCAGCATCACAATGTAATCTCTGTAACTTTCTGTACAACTTTACAATGGAATTGTCTATTTCAGTGATTTATTTTGATATCAGATTAAACTTTCCAAAAAGTTACACATAATCCAGGTCTATTTTTTCCCACCAGAAAGAGTTCTGTAAATCACAAAACCCCATAATCACAGTGTTCAGTTTAAAAAAAATTAAACACACAGTAATCCTGTCAAATGCTAATCAAAATCAAAATTTCAGAATGCTGTGGCATTTTTGGGACCAACCTGAGTTTTAGATACAAATAACAGCTATTTATCTCAGAAACCATTTTTGTTAGGCTGAGGCTGTGAAAAATCCAAAGTCAACATACAATTATTTTTTTTTATTTGTAATCGCACATGGGAGGGTACGGAGTGACACTGAACAGATCACGAAGCATGAGAGACATTAGTTCTCTCCCTTCCCAGCGTCTCCTTCGTCCCCTGGTTTTCCGATGTCCACAGAGTGAGACTGTCCCTAAGTAACTGCATGATAAGAGTGCAAATAAGACTCTTCATTCAGTATATCCAATTTAGCAATTGGTTCACCAAATGCCATTTTTGCCAGGCCACAGGCCTTTTCAGGAGAATTGAGAATGTCATAGTAAAAGACTGAGAAATTAAGTGCCGGATCAAGTCGAATTGGGTGTGCAGGCTGCATTTCTTTCTAATTTCTAATTGCTTCCCGGTAAGCCTGCTGGGAGTTCAACACAGTGGTTTGTTTGTCTCCAGATGCCACTTCAGAAAGATACCTAAAATAATCTTTCATTTTCAGGTAAAACACCTTACTTTCTGGTTATGTAGCACTGGGAATGAGATATTTGTCCAACAGCTCCAGAACGTCATTGCAGATGTCCTGCAGTTCTGCCTCTATCTTCTCACGGTCCTCTTTGCCCATCTGCTGCTGCTTCTCATTCCTGTCTGTTTTCTGCTCAATGTTGGAGATGACACGCTGGGAAGAGCAGCGGGTGCCTACCACATTCTTGTAGGCAACAGAGAACAGATTTCTCTCTTCATTGGAGAGTTCATGCCCCTGTTCTGTGACCGCCTTCATGGCTGCAGGTGCATCATCATAGCTCTCAGCCTGCTCAGAGAGTTTGGCTTTCTGTACCAGCTCACTTTTATTCATTGTCTTTCCATGGGAGGGTGGCAAGGGACAAAGACGCTGCCCAGCGAAGGTCTGAGCGGTGACTGCTTCCTTCCCAAGCCCACTTCTTAGGTGCCGGCAGCAGCAGCTACCCCAGTTCGGGAGTCCCAATACACATGTTTTTTGTATTAGCAAGTAATATGGCCTATAGGTGTCATTGAGTTTTACTCCATTTCTCACTCCATCCTGCCCCACCCACCAAAGCCTTATCCCCATTTCTCATGATGCCGATGGTAATCTGGTTAACAGACTGCTTGAGATTTTGTTAAAAGCTAAAATGCAAGGATTCTTCTGTGTCAAAATGTTACATTCCTTAGGAAAGATCTGAGGACTATGGTGATTATGAGCTTTTTTTTTTTTTTGAGATAGAGTCTTAGCTCTGTCACCTAGACTGGAGTGCAATGGCATGATCTCAGCTGACTGCACCCTCCACCTACCAGGTTCAAGCGATTCTCCTGCCTTAGGCTCCCAGGTAGCTGAATCTACAGGTGCCTGCCACCACACCCAGCTAATTTTTGTATTTTTAGTAGAGACAGGGTTTTGCCATATTGGCCAGGCTGGTCTCGAACTCCTGACCTTGTGATCCACCCGCCTTGGCCTCCCAAAGTGCTGGGATTACAGGTGTGAGCCACCATACCTACCTTATTATAAACCTTTGAGAGGTTAGCATTGTAGTGTAGCTCAAGGTAAACTCATTTCTAAGATATATTAATACAGGTTTAAAATTGCAAGAGTTGTAAAAACACACACCTTATTCTTTCAGCATATTATTCAATTTGATGTTTAAACAAAGTATGAAAACTTAGTTTAATTTTTCTTTATGTTCTATTATTTATTAATTTTGTGTTCTCCACTGAACCTAAATTACTTAGTTGAGGTAAAAGTAAAGGCCAACGACAGTAGGAGAAATACTGCAAAATCCCACTTAAGAGGTGTCTAAACTAGTCATACTCTTAGAAGCAGAAAGTTGAATGCCGGTTGCCCAGCATTGGGGGCGAGAAGGAATGGCAGCTGCTTTTTAAGGGTATAGAGTTTCAGTCATGCAAGATGAAAATGTTCTAGACATCTGCTGTATGACATTAAGCATATAGTTAACAATACTGTAGTGTATTCTTACAAATTTAAGAAGGTAGGTTTCATGTTATATGTTTCTTTAACCATAATAAAAAAGTAAAGGGCATTGAAATCTATATTATTAATCCATTTAAATGCTAATTGAAGGCCAAGCATGGTGGCTAATTGAAGGCCAAGCATGGGTGCCTGTAATCCCAGCACTTTGGGAGGCTGAGGCAGGCAGATCACTTGAGGTGAGGAGTTTAAGACCAATCTGGCTAACATGGGTAAAATCCCATCTCTACTAAAAATACAAAAAAAAAAAATTAGCTGGGTGTGGTGGTAGGTGCCTGTAATCCCAACTACTCGGTAGGATGAGGCAAAACCTTGCATTTTATCCCATGAATACAATTATTTTCCCATAATATATAATGTATCTTGTATGTATTTATGTATTATATTTACCAATTCAGTATAAGACAAAAAATATGAAAACATGTTAAAACGATGAAGCATAATGTATATTTTTGATATTTTAAAATCAGTAATTTTTGTTTAAAAAGATGAAGAAAAACTAAAGGATAGAAAAATGAATTGGCAACTCTGAAATAGGCAGGACTCTGCATTACTCTAATTTTATTTCTATCCTACATGTGGCCTTTGGTATATACTCAAAGATGTAGCTATAACTATTATTCATATTTGTATTAGATGTGCCTTAATTCCTCAGTACGAATGGGTTATTCTGGTTGGGATGGGGAGACACGGCCATTTTTAAGGTTGGGTGGAGATTATTGTTAACTTTTGAATCTTGAATCTTTCATGGTGGCATTTTCCAAACTTGTTTGATGGGAAGAATCACCTGGAGCACTCACTGGTTCAATATGTTGATTACACAGTGTCCCTCCTCTCCGCTAGAGATTCGATTCTGATTTAGGAGATCTGGGCTGGGGCCAAGGTTTTCTTTTGTTTTGTTTTGTTTTGTTTGAGACAGAGTCTTGCTTTGTTGCCCAGGCTGGAGTGCAATGGCATGGTCTTGGCTCACTGCAACATCTGTCTCCCAGGTTCAAGCGATTCTCCTGCCTCAGCCTCCCAAGTAGCTGGGGTTACAGGTACCTGCCACCACTCCCAGCTAATTTTTGCATTTTTTAGTAGAGACAGGGTTTCACCATGTTGGCCAGGCTGGTCTTGAACTCCTGACCTTGCGTTCCACCTGACTTAGCCTCCCAAAGTGTTGGGATTACAGGCATGAGCCACCGCACCTGGCCGGGTTTTATTTTATTTTTTTAATGTCCTTTCCAGATGATTTACATCTTGAGAAAAGTATAAAAAACTGTGTCCTAAAAAAATAGGTATCAAACATTTTTGATTAAAACCCACAGAAGAGATATATTTTAGGTCTAATCCAGTCACATGTAAAGGATAGGTATACATACATATACACACACACACACACACACACACACACATATATCTGCATTTCCATTACATATGTATATACATATATATGTGTATTTATGTATATATTTTCTATATATTATATATAATGTATATATATTATACATATTATAGGCAAATATTTATAATATTATATATAATGTTCATGGCATAATTCTGTGCCTTAAAACCTACATTTAAAAACAGGATACAATTTTATTCAGTAGAGATGATATTATATATTTACATTTTATATATATAATATGTAATATACATATATACACATGGAAATAAAAGTTTCACAAAAGAATATTTAAAGTTACTACACAAGGTGCATGCTACTATTTTTATTCTATTTTTGTAACATGGCAGTTGCCCTCCACATTCATGAGTCATGAGCAGCAGTTTAAAAATACTGCCCACAGCACAGTTCCTGACTCAATAAATATCAATGAATCCCGGGTGATTAATTAAGAAAAGGGTTTCCAGACAAAGGTTTGAGAGATACTGATACATGTAGAGTACACGGTAATTATTTGATTAAAAGGTTCACTGAATAGAAGAAAAACAATAAGATACCAGAGACAGTATGATGTAATCCTCTGTTTTTCGACTGTATATACACAGTTCTTGGCTTTCCATTTGAAGAGGACGATACAAAGTGTGGAAATAATTCGAGCTGGAGCTTTCCATAAGATTAATCATTTGGAAAATGAGATGTCTCTGGAAAGGTACAAGGGATTGGGAATCTTTAAACTGAATGCATATGGTTACAGAATGAGTTAAAAGTGAGGTTAGCCTTTTTAGAAGGGGAAATACAGTTTAGAGGACCAGTGCTGTAAGAGATTGATTAGGTCAAGTCCCTCATTTCTTCAGGTTTAGTATCAATGAATCCTGGGTGTCCAAAGTGATCCTCTCAGGGTCCTGACTAATGAATGCTAGAGCCAAAATGCTGAAGCTCGGCACCCCGTCTCCCACATGGGTGACCGTTTTTTTCTAGAGCACAAAGCCTCTCTAGTTGTTCTGCATTTTTCCTAGTTCAGGATACAAGAAATCTGATGTAAAATGAGGTAATGAGAGATTTAAGTTAGGAAACAGGGTTTCCTAATGCTGAAAAAACTTTAATTACTCTCCTCATTATCCAAATGATTCACTAGAATTATTCATCCACATAAGGGGAGAGGCAGTATGTCCTCTGAGGTATAAGACACATTGGAACAGGACAGAAGCTGAGTCAAGAGTACATGATAATGTGGACATGCCTAAGAACCCCTTCTTGTGAGGTTCTGAGCAGCAGGCTTCAGGCAGTGCTGAGTCACTTTCCTTCACCCTTAGCAGATGCTGCTAGGAGTGGTGAAGGCTTCTGAGCTTTCAGCAACACCTGGGCACTTCCTGCCTGGACAACCAGGGCCTAGGTCCCTGTACTATCTTCCCAGGGCTTAGCTCTCTCTAGAAAGCACTTAGCTCTCTCAACCTTGAATCATCTATATCTGGAAAGACGGAGTTTCTAGGGATACACAGAGAAACGTCCTTGCCAGTTCAATGCCTGAGAATGCTTCAAGTATAAACATAGACATAATTCTCTGCCTTGAAACCTACATTTAAAAAGAGGATATGATTTTATTCAGTAGGAATGATAAAAAGTGGTTTTAGAGTAATGATCTTGATGACTTGTAAATAATTCCTTCTGATCCTTCTGTGACTTGGTGGTTCTTTTAGTCATGCCATTTTCAGAAATCCCGAGGCTGTATATACAGTTGCCCATTCTAAACCAGAGGGCTCTCTTAATAAGAACAAAATTTTATCATCCTCCCATTCTTCAGGACTTTGAGGATAAAATCAAACATTTTAATGTGATCTCTGAAGCTCTGCATAACCAGGTCCCTGCTTCTCGTCAAGCTCCTTCTGTGCCTCTCATATCTGTGCCTTCTGAGCACTGGGCACATGGGCTCTGCGGTAGCTCCTTGCAAAGCCAGGCTCTGGGGAGTCTCTAGGCCCTTGCTCCTCCTGGAGGACTCAGCACTCTCCTACCTCAGCCTTATGTTTCCCCACAAACATTACTTTCTCAGAGAATCCCTTTTTTTAAATTAGACTTCATCAGATTTACCACCTAAAATCAATTTTAGAATGGCAAACATTTTTTGGAGACATCACAACTGTAATTAAATGATATATATCACAAATAATATCATCACAACTGTACTTAAATAACATCTATCTATTGATTGATTCATGAAGGTAGGGTCTTGCTCTGTTGCCCAGGCCTCTGGTGGGAGATTTCAGCAGATGGTAGAAGAAAATCACAAAATCAAACAAAGCTAGTGCGATTTTGTTTTATTTTAAAAATCTTTTTAGAAATGGGTTCACTGTTGCCCAGGCTGGAGTGAAGTGGCATGATCATAGCTCACCGCAGCCTTGAACTCTTGGGCTCAAGCAATCCTCCTGCCTCAGACTCCTGAGTAGCTGGGACGACATGCCACCACCTCGCCCTGCTAAATAATTTATTGCATAATTAGTTTGTTAGTTTCAGGTTCCCTGAAATACAACCTCTGAGTGCAGAAACGATTTTTGTGCATGGCCGTGTTCT